TATGCCAGCAAGCGGGTATGCCCAGCCGGGTGTGTCTTACACCTCAAAGAAGCTTGAAGAAGAAGCTGAACTCTGCTCGTCATCTCTCTTGTATATCTTAAATCTTGCACATATCTTCCAGTCTTTCGGAAAGATTGATTGCTTGGAGTTGGCATTGCACTTCCCGGAATATTCTTCGGGTAGATTCCCGCTGTCTTTTGCTCTCTCAATAAATCGCTTGGTTTTCGAATTCTTAGAACTCTTCTTTCTCTTCTTGCTGCATTTTGATTCCCATAAGCATCGGCATATATCATAGTGAAAGGTTCCCTCGAAATATCGGACAGCTAAATCATATATCACATTAAAAGAATCTATCGAAAAAAGGTGCTTCCCATTTTCCAAGTTATCTTCAATAAACTCAGCAATTGCCAGCTTTACAATTCTTACTCAAGGTCTACAAAGTCTTGAACAATGTCTGGAAGGGTATTTAGGCTTCGACTTGTCGTAGTTAGGATTACTTTCTATACTATTTTTCATGTCTTTTGTTTTATTGTTGTTGTTGTTGTGCTTCGGTTCTGTTTGCTGTGGTCGCATTTTTTTTGTGCCCCAATGGAAGAGGTAAATTAACACGAAATAAACGAAACGTTTGTCTGGAATTCGGAATGCAGAATTCTGAATTATTATGTGCCACAGTTATCAGCGCAGTTGTTGTTCTTGTTTTTTTTTCTTACCTGTGATTTGACACGGCACGCGAACTGCAGGACTTGCTCGTCCGGATGCAGCACTTTATTGTGGCAGCTACTTTTGGTAAGGTGGCAACGCGTTGGCAACCTGATGGCAACACCTATTTTTCTTTATTTTTGAACAAAAAACTTTGAAATCTTTTGCCAGTCCCATGATCCTTGTTGAAGGCAAGTTTTTTGCTGCTGCTGATTCCGCTTCTGCTGCTGCCGCTCCTTTGCCGCAAATTGCGCATCAAGTTGGGCAGAAGCAAAAAAAAAAGTAGCTAAAGTTAAGTTCATCTGGGATTCAACTTGTGTTGAGTGTGTGAAAATTGCTTTTAACTATTCCCATAACTATGCTATTTGCTGCTTCCCATGACTTTCATTAGCAGCTCTTGAGCTTTGACCCATATAACTTACAAATAGCTTTTTTTACCCAGCCGATACCTGAGCCCATTTCGTGCTCGTGTCAAACATGCAGTTGGCATTTGCTGATGAGCAAAAGTTTAGCTTTAATCAAAGTTCTGTGTGACAACGCGCAAAACTTTGCATAAGTTTTGCATTAAGGTTGGTTGCGGAAACTATGTATATATAAGAAAATATTGCTGAATTGCGCATAATTCATTTTCATTTATATTTGCTTTTATATATTATTGTTTATCAGAAACTGAACTTCAGCTGTGTCATTTTTTCAATCCCTGACAAAATGTTAACAAAATTCTAGCATTTTCCAGTTGGCCAAAAATCTCGGTCTGATGCAGGCGCACAAACATGCGGTCAGCCTTGTGGGCTGCCCAAAACCCCAAATTTTAACTCAAAAACCAGCAACAGACAAGCCGGGAACAGATTCGCACAGTGGTGCGAATTATATGAAAACTGGGCAAACTTGTTGGCATACAAATAGTCACATATTTGCGGGCTCAAAGTAGAAGATATCAAGTTGAGTATTGAGTATGAATTAGTATCGAAACATTTCCAATATTTTCAAAGAGTTAACTGTGCTCTAATCAAGTGCCCGACTAGGAGATACCCTGCATAATAGGCTATATACAACTTTGCCAGAGTTTCTCTGTTCTCTGTTTTCTCAGAAAGAAGACTGCTTTAAGCAAGTGCTCAACTAGGAGATACCCTGTACGAAAAGAACAAATTGGCATATTTGTAGAATATAAAGGATATATGCCAGTCGATCACAGTTCTGTGATATCTTTGTCTTATTCAACGCAGCCTAGCTTCGACGTAAAGCCAAGAAAGTCAACGTATCTAGACAGAAGAGAGAGTTGTTAGAGCGAGAGAAATAGGGCAAAAAAGAGAAGAAAAGCTATAGATGAAGCCGAAGGAAGTGCCAAAATTGGTAAGCCTACATGAATTTGTGAGAATCGCAAAGAAAGGCAGTATTTTGAGGAGCTGAGCACCCATTTTTGTCCACTGTACAGACCCGAATAAACCATTGGCCACTTGAAGCACAAGCACAGACATGAATGCTGGTTGTTGTCGCTTTGGGGGAAAGCGCCCGCCCGCACTTCCCCTCTCTCCCCCTCGCAACTGCCCCTCCACATTGGCCCCATTGCAGCTGCAATGCGTCTTCATAGACGACGTGCTCGTTGCCAAACTGGAAATAATTCAGGCAGGTCTCGTTGCATACTTTTGTGCGCAAATGTTTACACAGCTCAGAGCGCGTCCTTCATTCAGTTTGGGCAGCCAGCTGTCTGTGTGTTTGTGTGTTGTTTAGCTGGCCCACATCTGCCCGGGCAAACTGTATGTGCATATTTATATAAATGTACACATACGTATGTCCTGGCGGCTTTTGTCGCTCCATTTCGTTTAGAGTGCAGCCGCAGGAGAAGCAACAGCAGAAGCAGCGGCAGCATCAGCTTATGAGTCATCGCCCAGCATCGTGAGTCTCATCAGCCTCATCAGTGTTGTCATTTTCTCGTTTCGAAATTGAATTCCACTATGGACAACCAGATTGGCTGCTATCCTGCGCAGTCCTCTCCTGTCCTGTCCTGTCCTGTTTCTGGTGCCGGGCTCGGTCCGCTGACATCTCGTTTTTTGTGTGTGCGCTGCTTCCTTGCCCTGCGTCAGCAAATATACAAGTAGAAAAGCGGCATTTAAATGAAGTGGAATCCTGTTTTTAAATGTCCTTGTGCTCCTCATACTACTCTGGCCCTATGCTATTTCCGCCACGTTTGGCTGTGCCGCCCCTGTCTGTCCTGGCCTGGCCTGGACTCGGAATGCGTCATCACGTTCAAAGGACTTCTCATCTATAGCAAATTTTGATACTAACGGGCATTGCACACTGGTTTGACAACCTATTAAAATTTACCTTAAGGGAAGAGGCCAAACAGAAGCGAAAGATAGAAAGAAAGGGAGCAAGAAGGAGAGAAAGGACTATAGATCTGTTAGCTTAGTTGAATTTGTGAGAATCGCAAAGGAAGGCAACATCGCAGAAAGAAGCTGATCAAGAAAAAGGGAAAGACAGAAGAGTGAGAGGGAGAAAGAAATAGGGCAAGAAAGATAGAGAAGAAAACAAAAGAAAGTATTAAAATCTGTAAACCTATTTGAATTTTTGAGAATCGCAAAGGAAGGCAATATTTCAGAAGGACGCAGAGCAAGGGACAGAACAGTGAGAGAGAGAGAAGCAGCCCAAGTAAGATGTGAGAAATTTAAATATATTTCGCGAAGCTGCAACACTGTGCGATGGATTCAAAAGTGTCGCTGACGGCCGGGACACATGAATTATGTTCACACACACACACACGCATTCGGCAGGAGATAATATCCTGCTACTCACCGCGATGTGTGAATCAAAAAAGCAAGAACAACACGAGGAACATAATAAATGGCTGACACTTTTGGCGACAGCTCCTGCGAGACTGTTCCAACAGAGAAAGGGAGAGCGAGAGAGAGAGAGAGAGAGAGAGAGAGAGAGAGAGAGAGAGAGAGAGAGAGAGAGAGAGAGAGAGAGAGAGAGAGAGAGAGAGAGAGAGAGAGAGAGAGAGAGAGAGAGAGAGAGAGAGAGAGAGAGAGAGAGAGAGAGAGAGAGAGAGAGAGAGAGAGAGTGAGAGAGAGTGAGTGAGGGAGAGGCAGCTGGCAATTCTCGTGCCCAAGCTGCAAGTTGATTCCGTTTCCAATTCTCGCAAACGCTTCGATTAATTGGTATTGCAAAGAGGATTACAAATGATTTAAAATTGCGGCCGGGGTTAATAAAATTGGCTTTGTTTTTCGTTTGCCAGGCAAAAGGACTCCCAGATGGGCTGCGTAAGGGGAGGGGGAATCCTTTGGATTGCTCACTTGCACTTCCGGCGGCAACAGGGGAGATGATGGCCTCCGCTCCGCTGTGTGTGTGTGTGTCGCCAGACAGACGACAATGGAATATGTAATAAAAAAAAAACCCCATTGTTGGCAGGATGACAGGAAGTGGGAGGAGGAGTGGAGGGAGGGGCAGCAGTGGTTGGCTGGCTGCTCCATTCGCCAATCGCTTTGGCATTCGCGTGTTGCGGCTGATGTTTATGGCACAAAAAGCTGATGATGTTGTCGACGATGTTCTCGTCCTTCTTCTAATCCTCCTCCTCCTCATCCCCGTTCTGTCCGTTCTACTCGCCCGATGCCAGCTGATGACCCAGTTAGACCGAGCCGAGTGCTCCTCTTGGCATTATTATTTATGCGTTAATTAAATATTCCGTATACACATGTTTCTAAGCACCATCACACACACACAGCATGTTTACAGGGCGCATATTAAGTTGTAAAGATGACATTAAATATGTGTTACATGTGTGTGCGCCCCTTTCCTCCCTGCCCCCCGGAACTAGTCCATAAAGGAATTCTATTTATGTGAGCTCGCCAAGCGCTCGGGCTATATTTATTCCCTTCTACATAATCCTGCGCTATAATCATCTAAATTATCATTATCTTTACGACTTAAAGCTAGACGATAATTTAAAGAGAAAGTGTATATTAATGAAAATATATTGAGCCCAGTTTGCCATTTCAGTCGATTTTAAGAAATCTTGAGTTGCTAGACAGTTTTTTTTAGCCAGAACCCGAAGATTAGAAGAACCAGCTACACCCAACTTGGTGTGTAGCTTCTCGTATAGAGTATTTTACACGATAGAGCCTGGGAACTTGGCATATATATACCTAATTATGCCATATTTAAGGTCTGAAAATGTCAAGAAGATCGGACTATAAGCTCCTAAGTTATTGAAGAAGACATATTTCAAACAAACTGCGAGACGCAGAGTTGGAATAACGTTGTTGCTTATTACTCTCTCTCTCTTTTTTAATCGTTCCTTGCAGTGTTGAGCTCGTTTTGTGAGATTCATGATGATGGAGCTGGAGCCGCGCGTGGCCATATTGCAGGATCTGCGCCTACAGACCTTCGACTCGATACGCTTTGCCTCGTATCGGACCGCCTCGAAGTTGCGCTACATACAAAAGTCGACCAATTTGCATCTGGTGGACATTTGGAATGTGATCGAGGCGTTCCGCGAGAATGGCCTAAACACATTGGAGCCGCAGAGCGATGTGAGCGTGGCGCGTCTGGAGACGCTCGTCTCCTCGCTCTATCACAATCTGAACAAGCGTTTGCCCACCGCACAGCAGGTGCCCGTGGACTCGAAGGCGGGTCTCTTGCTCAACTGGCTGCTGGCTGCGTACACCAGGTGGGAGTACTTGTAGTAGCTGTCTGTTCCAGAAGCCTAATCCTTTTCCCATTGCAGCGACAACTCGGGCAAAATACGCGTGTTTTCCATTAAGGTGGCGCTGGCCACCATGTGCTCCGGCAAGCTGGTGGACAAGCTCAGATGTGAGTAGCTAAAACTGAACTAAAACTGAACTGATTCCTTCTACTCCCTCGGCAGATATCTTTTCACAGATTTCGGATGGCGCTGGACAGCTGGTTGCCTGGAAGCTGGGTGAATTTTTGCGTGAGGTATTGGCGCTGCCGGCGGCCGTTTATGAGTCGCCCACATTCCACTATAAGGACGGGCTGGAGGAGGAGATATTTCCGGCCGAGAATAAGGTCACCGTGAATGATTTCATGGCAACACTTATGTCCGAACCGGGGCCATCGTGTCTCGTCTGGCTGCCGTTATTGCATCGGCTGGCCACGGTTGAGACAATTGTGCATCCGACGATCTGTTCTGTTTGCCATAAGGAAAACTTTACCGGATTTCGTTATCGTTGTCAGCGGTGTCACGCCTACCAATTGTGCCAGGAGTGCTTTTGGCATGGCAAGACATCGCTGAACCATCAGAACGATCACGAGGTCAAGGAATACTCGAGCTACAAGTCGCCCAGCAAACAGATTGGTCACTCCTTGCGCAAGAGCTTCCGGTGTGTGCCCGAGAAGACGACGCAAGTGTTGCCACGATTCCCCGACCAGCCCGAAAAGACACTCAATTTATCGCACATTGTGCCCCCATCGCCGTTACCCTCGCACAATGGCTTCTCCGATCCAACGCTGGGCCACTTGCACGGTCCCGGTCCCGGTTCCGGCTCTGGTCCGGGGCCCGGACATCCGGGCATCTTTGATCGTTCCAGCACGCTGGATTCGCGCGCCACCGGACGCAGCCTGGACACGACCATGTCTCGCGTAGCGGCCGCCTCGGCCAACGATGAGGAGCATCGCCTGATTGCACGCTATGCCGCGCGCCTGGCCCAGGAGAATCGCGCTGTAAGTACCAGTTAAATACATCTCTATAATATCCCCACTTAATCTCTCTCTGCCCTCTCTCGCTCGCAGCCCTCCAACATGCCCAATGCGGAGAGCATCGCGCCCATTGGCACGGATAATTCGCGTGCGCAGCGCGAGCTCATCGCCCAGCTGGAGTCGAAGAACAAGGAGATTATGCGCGAAATTGCGCGCCTGCGCCGCCAGCAGGAGACTGAGCAAATGGCGCCCGAGAATCCGGCGCTGATCAATGAGCTGCGCGCACTGCGGCAGCGCAAGGGCGAGCTGGAGGGGCATTTGGGCGCGCTGCAGGATTCGCGGCGGCAGCTCATGGAACAGCTGGAGGGCCTGATGCGCATGCTCAAGAATCAACAGACTGCCTCGCCGCGCTCCACGCCCAATTCCAGTCCACGATCCGGTAAATCGCCGCCCATGCCAGGTGGCACGGCAACAACATCAGCTGGCGTCCTGGGCACCACGCCGATGAGCGCCCTGCATGCCCAGCAGTTGCAACAACTGCAACAGCATCCGATGCTGCGCTCCACACAGCAACAGCTGTTGCAGCAGCAGCAGCAGCAGCAGCAGGCGGCACAGCAAAGTCAATGCTCGCCCGGTCTCGGCCACGGACCCTTCAGCCAGAGCCAGCTGGAGCAGCTCAACCAGATCAGCAGCGACATGCGCAGCGCCTTTGCCGCCAACGGCAGTGCAAGTGAGTATTGCCCGCGCCCGTAGCCCAAGGATCTACTAGGGATTCGATTTGGGTTTGGGTTTGGTTTGGGTTTGGGTTGGGTTGGATTAAAGTGTAACTGTTGCCTTTGTTTAGGTTGACTGCATCACAAATTGGTCGTTAGGTTTATTCATCTCTCGCTCTCTCTCCATACGCTCTTACGCACACTGAACACCGCCCTCACTTGCCACTGCCCAACACTGTTCACTGACCAACACACACTTCGCTTGGAAGCTGCTCGCGTGTCACGATCAGGCATTCGTGCGTGATTCAATTTGGAATAAATTCTTGTTAGATCAGTTGCCCAAGTGGCCTAGTCTTTTGGCAATAGAACAACTAGGATCTGAGTTCGAGTAACGCGATTATTTTCAATTGTTATCGACTTAGTGCTTACGATAGTTATATCGATAACGATTAATCGTAATTCGTAAAACAATTAATCCGAATTTAAAAGAGATTCTCAAAGAGACTCAATAAATACCCTACATCTTTAGACATATTTGTCTGAGAAAAGGCGATAATTTCCAATTGCAATCGACAGAATGCTTACGATAAATATATCGATAAATAATCGATAAAGATTGATCATTCGATTCGTAAAACAATTAAATGGAATTGAAATTAGATTTTCGAGAAGACTCCTAATAGGTGAGAAATAAGCGATTATTTTCAATTGCTATCGACTGAATGTCTTTGATAATTATATCGATAATTTATCGATAACGATTAATCGTAATTCGTGACACGCTTACAGCTCCGTGAAGCACAGAAGCTTGGTTCATCCCAAGCAATATCTCTCGCTTTGTTTTATATATATATATATGTATATGGCTTCACAGCCCCGCCGCCCATATTGAATGCCAATCCCAATGCCGACGCGGAGCTGAACGCAACTGCCGACAACATAACGTCGGCCATTTCGACAATGGTCAGCGATCTGAATACAGGTAAATCGCAGTAATAACCCTAACAAAATAAAAAAAAATCGAAATCGAAACCAAATCGAGATCTTAATTCCCGCCTGAAACCAACGCCCGCTCGCTCGCTCGCTCTGCTGCTGCTGCTTGGAATATAGAATGTGTATATAATATATCTATATCTATATAGAGATATATATATATATATATATAGCTATACGATCTAGAATTTGCACCTGCAATTTGCACTCGTTTTTAGAGCTGTGTTCGATTTATTTATTTTTGGCACCAAATTTGTTGAAGCACCCCGCTTTTAGAGTCCACTGGCCACTGCCACGCCCACTCGCACCTAACTAATATATGGAATATTCTCTATCTCTATCTCTCTCTCTCTCTCTTTCTAACACGCTCTCTCTCTGTCTATGCTTTGCTGTGTGTGTGTGTGTGTTATGTGTGCTTTTCCTTGTTCGTTGTCCTTGAACTTTTTCAGAACAATTCTTGCCGCCGGCTCGTTTCATTATGCCTTTGGGTAAGTCCTTCACGTCGACTCCGTTTCCGCCCTTCGTCGTTGCGACCAACTCTCTACCCTCCCCCCTAGCCCCTAGTTATTTATTTATTTTTTGGTTTTTCTCAAAATTTTTTGTTATTTTTCTTATAGATTATTTCCCAAATAGACGGCATAAGAAAAATTGCTGCAAATGTTGAATTGCACTTCAGTTGTTCTTTATTGTTTATCATTTTTACTTTCACTACCAAAACAAAAAAAAAAAACAAAACCTCTATCGCATCCATACGAACGAATCCCCTTTTCAAGAGTATCGCCACATCGAGGGCCGCGAATCCGCTCCTGCCGGTTGCGGCGATTGCGATTGCCTGGCTTACGAGGAGATCTTTCGCACCGACGATGATCTTGAGTGTGAGGGCGCTGCCACGCCCCTTTATACAGATCCCTTCGATGATGAATTCGATTATAATTTCGGCCAGAGCGAGGAGCAGTCCCAGCTAAATCGCCTGTTCGCCTATCGCCACCATCCCGAGCTCTTTATCGATGACGACGAGGCCGGCTTTCCGGCACTGCATGAGATCGGTGAGACAATCGATGAGCTGCAGTTGATAATGCACGCTTACATTATGAAATATAGTTTGAATATATAAAAAAAAAAAAACAAAAAACAAGAGAATTGAAAAACATTTGTTTAGGTTCACGCGTTGTTCAGGTAATATTTTGATATGCATATATATTTATATGAAATATATTTTATTGTATGCCTTTCGCTCATCTCAAATGTAGTTGCCAGTTCGTTGACATACGCTTCACTTTCAGCTTAAATCGCGTTTCTATCTATTTCCACAAATCTGATTCATTCGTAGTGCAACATCTTTCCAGTGGCGTAGTCGGGCTGTTTATAAGGGGGGTAAATAGTTAACTAAGCTTCAATCTTATGCACAATCAAGGCTCGGACTGGTTTATATGTAGGCACGATCTTTGAAGATCTTCAGTAATTTATATGCTAAGATCTGGATATGGACATAGCCAACAGACACGTCTCCAGCTGGACAGACTTATTCAATAATGATATTATATATCCATACACGAGCCTGAGGTTCGAACCCAGAGCTGCGATCTTTTCAGTTCAAGTTCCATTAACCCATAGAGAATCTCTCTACTCTAAGCTATATCTATATGCTATATCTATGTAAACTAGACTCTAGACTCTACTATACGAAACTTTTCATTTCAATATATATTGTTCTTTCAAGCCGCCCTTAAATGCGCCTTGACTACGCCGCTGTCTTCTACTCTCCATGCCTCACACATGTCCTCACATAAATATATATATATATATATATATATATGCTAGTCTGGCTTAGCTAGAATTCGACTTCATCGATGCAAATCAGTTCCCAGTACACCCGCCCGCCGCCGAATCTCGGTCGTGTCCTCCACTCAACTCCGTCCATTTGGCATCTCATTCAGTACTCCAATGTATCTAGAGATAATATCTTAATGTATCTATATATATTTAGACTGTTCGTGTTGGTTGCTCGTTAAAAGTAAAACAGAAGAAGGTTTAGCTTTGTTTTGGGTTAAGCTTTGAAATAAAACTGATTCTTATGCAAATTGATACAATTTCAGATTTCGATGAAACTCAATCCTATAATCCCGAATGGAATGAAAAGGTAAAGGATTTCGCACCGAAATCCTTATAGAGCCAATTATTGATGTATTTTTGTTTTTTCTTTTATATTGTTGTTGGTTCTATATTTGTTTTTTTTTTTTTCGTTTCCACAAAACATGCACTCAAATAAAAACGTAAACAACAATAAATATATATACATACTATATATGTAGCTTGTGTAGTTGTAAACCGATTTATGCTCTATATATTTATGACATATCTGTTTTTATTTCCACTCTTTGATATATTTGCATGCCACAGCGTAGCGTTTGGGTAGCTATTTACCGTATTTGATATAAAATATATATATATATTTAATTTCTGCTTGAATTTCTAATAATTTCTGAATTTGTTTTTCAGGCAAATGCGAATAGCCAGTGGCAGGAGCAGTTTGCACAATGGAGTCTCAATTCACAAAATAACTAAAACAAAAAAAAATATATAAATGGAAAATAAAAAAAAAAAACACGCTGTGGATCCAACGTTGGAACATATATATATATAAATATATACACTTAGTGCGGATCGGCGCTTAGCTTTTTAAAAACTTAACACTTATGTTGATCTAGAGCAATTTATTTATTGACTACTTTAGTCTGTACTATCTTATAAAACTTTATAATTTATTTTGGCGGGCATACACACATATATATATATATATATATATATTTATCCATAAATATATACTTCTATACGTACGGTACACATTGATTTGTGAACAGAAAATCTATATAAAAGAAAAGTGAAAAATTTTATAAGACTTGCATTTGAAGTCGCAATTCTCTTGAATCTCTATCGTTATGTTTAGCTCGATATCTTTTTTGAATGCGCTTTATTGCACGTTGGAGTTGTGCAACTATTTATTACATATTTAACAAGAATGAAAATCAAATACATAATACAAATACTATATAGAAATTTATGTACTTAGCAACTAGCGACTTGTTGAAAAAAAGAACGTAAAACTAAAATCAAATTCTAAATGCTGATTCCTTATACTTCCCCAAAGAGGACAGCAGTACAATAAATATTTAAACAAACACTTTGATATACGATATAATAATAACAAGAAGTACGAAATCTTTAGCCAGGAACAACGTGAAATTATAAACATATATAATATGATGTGGACTTTCCAAAGTTTACACAATATTTTGGATATTGCATTTTATGTTTGAGTTTTATTTCGAGTTTTGAAAAGTAGTTCGACATTAAGATATCCAATGTTATGTCGATGCTATTTAAATTACTATTAATCAATCAATTTATAATATGCATTCATATAAAAATGTTATAATATATAATCGCAATGCATACAACCAGCACAGAAAGATGAAGAACAAAGAGATGATAAACAAAATCAGACATTTATAGACATTATACATAAATAACCACTGAATAATGAAGAATATTACAGAAAAAAAAAGGAAAAAAGTAAATAAAAATACATTTTAAACAATTCTAAACATAGAAAGTAATTTGATTTATTTAAAAATAAAAATTAGCCCGCCTTAAGCGATAGCTATCGATAAGCACGACTGTAACATTCTGTTAACGCAATTATGTTAGCTAACATTAACGCATAATTGAGTTGCAATTACAGTGACGCAAAACTGCGCGCACAGCCGGTGCTGTTAAGTATAACATAACAGAACCTGTTAACGGCGGCTTAACAGTGGTGCATCATTTACGCAAGCGCCGGCTGCGGCGCGCCTCACTCGAATCATTTGTGTTGTGACAGTCGAAGCGTGCGGACGTCTTAAATTTTTTGTGGCTCTCGCGTGTGCTTAAAAGTATAAATTGGTAAACTCGGCTTACACAGACATCAGTTAAAGAGAGTAAGAGCGCGCGCGCGCACACACACACGCATACCGAGAGTCGAGAAAAACCAGCTTAGAGCGAGCTAACAAGTGTGTGTCTAGCGAACAGCATCCGCGCTGTGCCGTGCAACGAAAAGAGCCAAAGCTAACTGTTTTTGTTTGGTCACGTCTTCGGGCGTCTCAGAGCGCAGCGCCAAATAGCTCAGCGGCAGCTTTTCTTCAACAGTTTCAAATTTACTGTTGCAGTCGTCGTACAAATAATCAGCCGTAGGGTGTGGTGCAATATATATATTTAAATTTCTGTACTCCAAAAAGCAAAAGAATGTGGCAAGCTGAGCACCTGAAGATTAACAATTTGTGGCATGCATTGCTGCTGCTGCTGATTGCGCTCGCCACGCACGCACAGGCGCAGAGGACGCCCACGATTTCGTACATTACGCAGGAGCAGATCAAGGATATTGGTGGCACTGTTGAATTCGACTGCTCGGTGCAGTATGCCAAAGAATATAATGTGCTCTTCCTCAAGACAGACTCAGATGCCGTCTTCCTCTCTACGGGCTCCACGCTTGTGATTAAAGATTCGCGCTTTTCGCTGCGCTACGATCCCAACTCTTCCACATACAAGTTGCAGATCAAGGACATACAGGAAACAGATGCGGGCACCTACACCTGTCAGGTGGTCATCTCTACCGTGCACAAGGTGAGCGCCAATGTGAAGCTATCGGTGCGTCGACCGCCCGTCATCTCCGACAATTCAACTCAATCGATTGTGGCCAGCGAGGGCAGCGAGGTGCAAATGGAGTGTTATGCCAGCGGTTATCCAACACCGACCATCACATGGCGTCGCGAGAACAATGCCATTCTGCCAACGGGTGAGTCTCTTTTTAATTATTAATTAACCAACACTATTAGCTGACCCCTCCCCCTTCCCCCTCAAACAGCCCTGTGGCAGGCGTCCGATACATTTACATGATATGTCCGTCTGTTTTGGGGCGCTGTCCTCTCTCTCTCTCTCTCGCTCTCTGGCTGCCACTTGATATGCATGTGTGTGTGTGACCGTGACTCACTCAGTCGTCACCGTTGGCGTTTGTTTATTTGCCTGTTCTAGACTTTATTTTATTGTATGTTTGCTTTGCGTGTTTTGCATATATTCATTTCCCACCTGTTTTCAACAGCCCTTTTCAGTTTTTTTTTCTTGCCAGTTTCTCATATGAAGGCGCATTGTTGTCTTATATACATGTACATATTACAAAGCGTTAAGCTCGGCTTAGCTTGCGCTCTCTCACGCGCGCTCCCACACCCACACACACACACATGCAGCCGCGCTCTCTCCATTTTCGTGTTATGCTTTGTTGTTGTCTTTGCTTTCTTTGAAAATGGCCAAAAACTTGAAATTTTATTGCATTTGCTATTGTTGCTGGGAAAAGCCAATAAAATAATTTTGTAGCCAACAGGTAACGAGACTAGCGACAAGGTCAATACTAAGCCATTACAGGTGCACATTAATCCCGTATTCTACCTGTTCTAAACACCTTGCGTGCCATAAACGCGCCGCTAGCGCATCCATAATTGATTTTTAAGTCTCGCTGCGCATTTAACAAGATTGCAGCGTCATTTGCCAGCGGCAGCGGCATTAGCAGAGGCAGCGCAGCATCGGCAATTAGTGTCACTAATCCCGCCAAGCTGAAAGCCGAATACTAAGAAGTATGCATGTGTGTGTGTGTCTAAATGCATTTACAAATGGTTAGAAAAAAAATACAAAAGAAATACTAAAACTGCACAATTTTTGGCTTAGGCTGCGGCTTAATGTCTTGGGATTAAGTGTTGCACAGTTTTCGACTCTCAGACGCCACCAAAATTGAGCATTTCTAAACTGGAAGCCCTTAATTCATAGATTAACTATTGCAAAATTAATAGTTTTTTATGAAAAACTTTTCTAAGATCGCGACTTGAGCGTAGATAAAATCTGTTTTTAAATATCGATAACATGCCCCAATTGCATAAAATCGATAGAAAAATGTATCGATATGTGGTTTATTTAGCATATATTAGAGCTTAAAAGAACAAGACACTGTTTTTTGTAGGCACATTTGGGCTTTGTGTATTTACACACATTTGGCCATACTTTTTTCAATTTTACCGCAAGAATTTTCCATTTTGCGTTTGTGCATATAAGAGAAAGTTAAAATGTTTGCAAACGCAGCTTGACGCTGAGCTTAAGGTATTTCTCACAGTGGAACACTCCCGACTCAACTCTAAATTGATTTCTTCTAAAACATTGACAAATTAAGGTAAACGCAGCTTTTATTGCTCTAATTGAATAGTTTTATCTGAAACTACGAATCAAACACAAATAGCTTTATTTGGGCCTGGTCACACCCTGTCCAGATTTCAACGATCAACTTGTGCCATCTTTAATTACTTTAGCCTTGACTTGCCTAAAACGTAAACGCTCATTGGAGCGTCTATTAATGGGGTATCCAGCTTGAATGGTTGGATGGTTGGGTGTGTGCTCGGCAAGATTGCTCCCTTGCCGGGCTGAGCACTTGAAACCGAAAGCTACTTAAGGCCTGGAACTGTGTGCTTGGGGTTTTGGGCAGAATAGCTGGGATACGCTTGAGAAACTTACTTCAATGTCAGCACTGGCCACATATACATACATATATATTTGTGTAGTACAGTATACACAATAAATCAAAGGTAAATCAACCTTTGAGCAGGACCTCGCAGGCAGCAGCAGCAGCAGCCCCTGTGCGGAGTTTCACACGTTTTTTTTTAACGCTCTAATTTAAAGCGCTTGGGCAAACAAAAATCCGCGCCAAGCTTTGAAATGCGCCAACGAGCCATGAGCGTGTGGAGAGAGAGAGGGAAGGTGGGAAGGGGGAGAGGTGTAAGGAGTGCAGAGGCCTGCACTAGAGATGCTTTTATGCGGCAGGATTCGCATTGCGAGGCATTCGACAACTTCAGCACGCGCAATTGCTTCCGCAACTTGAAAACGTTCCGTTTGATGGTGACTGCTGCAGCCGGTAGACGGTGAGCAGGGGAGAGGGGGGGGGGGTAACGGGTGAGAGCAAAGGCCCGTTCATATGAGTGCAAACATATTCCGGCGTAAAGCCAGGCGAGGCAGGAGGCAGGAGGCGTTACTGTGTATCAGACACGGTTACGGCTTGGGTGGGTACAGTGCAACAAAAACAAAGTAAACAACGGCAACAACAACAACAACAACAACCAGAACAACAACAACAACAACAATTGTTAAGGCCATGTCGAATGCGCTGAGCCCCGTTCAGCGCCCTTCGCGCGCTTAATTTGTATTTTGATAGCCGGCAAATACAATGCACACAATATACAATATAAAATATATACAACATATACAAAATATATATAAATTACAAGCCAAAAAGGTAAAAAAAAAAAAAAAACACGACACAAACAATGGGCGCTGCGAATAAACCCCCTCTAAACCCTCTCTTATGCGTCCCTCTTCTGTTGTAAAATGCAAACAGTCCGCTTCTAAGCAACCCCTGCCCAGAAGCACGGGCAGAGGCCAGGGCAGGGCCAGGGCCAGGGCCAGGGGCTGGGGCTGGGCAAGGACTACGGGATTGGACCACGCCTTAGCCGCGAGGAAGAAAACAGGGACACGCACATAAACAAACGCAAGAGGAACCCCTAATCAGGCGCTTCCGTTGCCGGTTTTTTAGCGCGCAAAAAGAATAAATATATACACAAGTATATAGGGCTAGCCGAACTAGTAGATGCCCTGTAAAAAAAGCCTAGCTGATGTTCGCATTCATTTCGCATTAGGAAAAATTATAAATTGATAAATTGATAAATTGTAAATTTTAGTCTTAAATAACTTTTGTATTTGTTGTGCGATCTTTATGAAATTTGCAGGGTATCAAGAATACATTTAAAGCTGGGCATATGCCTAGAATCTTGGGTATAAATCTTGAAATAAAAACAAGACAATTAGAAGAAGCCATATATCTATATAAATATGTTTTTGTATACTTCGTGAAGAAAGTCAATATACCCCTGTCTTATGCTTACAGGGTATTCTAAGCGATCCTTGACACGCCAGAGAGCTAAAAAACTCTTAAATCAATCAATTAGACAGCTAGAACATGGCTATATCTAGAATATACCGGCTAAACAATCAATATGCCCCTCTGCTATGCTTACAGGGTATTCCAGGTGAAGGGTGTGCCCTGTCGCGATCTTT